GAGGCAGCGGCAGGAGGATCGAGAGTTTGAGGCCAATCTGAGCTATGTAGCAAGACCCTGCCTCAAAAGGGAAAACAATAACAAATATATATATATATATATATATATATATATATATATTTATTTATATTTATAATCTATATGCATCAAATATATAATATGAATATATATTATAAATATATTTATATTTGCTGAATAAATGAATGTTCTTTACCATGTGTATCTTTATTCTTTGTCTTTTATTTTTTCTTTCTGTCTTTTCTCTCATTTCCCTTGATCTGGTCTCTTTCTCTTCCACTTACTTCACTCCATTTTCTTAATTCTATTCATTCAATCAACCAACACTTCCTTTTTTTTTTTTATTCAGTACTGGGGTTTGAACATGGGGCATTGTGCTTGCTAGGCAGGTGCTCTACCACTTGAGCCATGCCTCCAGCCCATCAACAAACAAGACTGCTGAAAGCCAGCTCCATTTAAGGCACTAAGCCTTGCACTGTGAAAGACATAAAGTAGACACCACCTTTTTACACACTCTTTTTTCTTGTGCTTGTTAGGGCTCATGAACTTCTCAGACACCTCTACCATGATTTGCTACCAATTTCCCAGAATAGTCTTGATGTAAAGTAACTGGGTCTGCCACCCCACAACATGGTGCCCACAGCTGCTTGGTGCTGGGTGCTGCTGCTGTAGTGAGTGTACCAAGTGGCTGTACACTCAAAGCCAGGGTGCAAGGGATCCTGGGAATGATGAGAATAGGGGCCCCAAAGAAGGCTATTGGAGAGACTGTCCCATGTGACTATGGCACCTGCTCTCTGTGGCCTATTGTGAGCCCCTCCTGACTCCCTGGTATCATACACTCAACTCATAGACAATCTCTGCATGTTCCACAGGCATTTCAGGTCCTCTCTCTCCCATTAGGTAGAACTTGACCACTTCTTCTGTGGCTAGATGTTCTCTGCCTTGTCATCCACTCTTGGCTGGTTTAATGTTTTTCCTGTCCAGAGTCCATTTTTTTAGAAATTGCCCCCAAAGAGAACACAGACCATGACATGACTACATGGTCATGTTTGAGAGAGGTAAATGTCCCTCTGGTACTTTGTTAAGTGGAACAAGGGTGGTCTTCATAGCTCAGCTGGGCAAGAATTTGTCTATCTGCTTCTCTGTGTCAAGTATTTGAATCAGAAAAACATAAAAAAACCATCATTATTGGCTATGGACTCATATGGTCATATTAACTTGGGGTTGACCCAAGGTCCTAGGCCAACAGAACGCTGTCTGAAAGGTAGAATGGACTCTGATAGACATGGACAGAAGCAAGGATGTCAGAGCCCAGGAGGCCTCTGAGAGCTGAAGAAATCACTTTGGTCCTTAGCAGTTTTCCATGGCCAGTTCTCAGGCAGCCTGGTGTGACCCGATCCAAATGCTCACAGCCCTCACTTAGCTGGCCTGAGTGGGGTTTTGATCCCAGACCAAAGTGCATACATCCCAACACAACTTTCTAGAGCATATTCACTCTGAGCTCTTGTCAGATTTATCCCTTCTATACAACTCTGCTCTTGACTAGAACTCACCTGTCAACACAAGCTCAGTCTTGCACCCAGGAAGAAGCTGTCCTGCCTTACCTGTCCTACAGGACAATCTACCTGCCTAGTCCCATGGGCTTTGGCTGTCTCCTTCTAAGTCAGTCTGTCATCCAGCAAGGCAACCATAAAGCCACAGGCATTTACTGTCTAATTATAGCAAGAGCTTTACAACACTTTTTAGCTAATGACTTTTAGACACATTTTACAAAGTGGTGTTACTGGCTGCAGGAGACACCAAACAATCATAACATTCCAGACATGCGCTACGGATTTTATGTGCTTCCCTTCATCCATAGCAACCCAAGGACCATAACAATAAACACATTCTGCCAATGTTGTCTCCCTCTCCTGCCCAGGGGTAAAATCTTTCTTCCAATTTCTAGATTTTGAACCAGATTTCACTTCAAAAGATCCCGTGTTTAATAAAGTACCTGGGTAAAGTGTGAAATATGAAGATCAAACATGGCCACACAATCAGGAATTTAACTAACGTGGATCTCAAACCAGAAACCTTGGTCACTGACTTGACACTACTCAGAGCCAGGATTTCCAATAGATTCACGATCATTTCACAGTATCTTTGACTCCGTGGGTCGAAGACGGGGAGTGCAGAAGCCAAGGCTTGGTGTAACTGAAAAGTTGCTCATGACAGCTTGTCAATGTCATGGGCTCATCAATCACATCTTCAAACCATCTGCAAGAGGCTAAGAGGACTAGGGGAGACAGCTGTGTGACACTCCTAAATTTCTCAGCTTCGGAATAGGGATGGAGAGGCTGAGATCAGATCGTTTCAGTCACACAACTGAGAGGAAAATGCAATAATTAAAAGAAAGAAATAACAGCAGAAAGACGCATTAGGGGATACCTGCCTGCCACTCTAGGATTCCTCACCCCGTCTCTTAAGAAGCTTTCTGCTCCCCCATTTGTACTGGAGTTCAGATGGATAACCTGGATGCACAACGTGCCTCCTACACTCATCAGCTGTGCTGTGAATTACTAACTCTCTTTTCCTTGGTTTCTCTGTCTGTAAATTGGTCGGAGTTGTTGCGAGGATGAAATATGATAATTATGAGAATAACACCTGCCACTTAGTAAGTAATAAACGTCAGCCACTGTTCCTCAGCGCCGGGCTCCCAGCTAGCTGATCCCTGCTGGAACCCTGTGATTTCTCCCTGGGAAAATGGAGATGAAGTTAGTCTTTCTGCATGGCTGAATCTGCAGCATGGAATTTTGGTACATTATTTTGAGGCATGAGGAGCAGAAAGAGACAGTCTTCAGAGAGAGGATAAACAGCTTCAGTGGGGGAGGTGAATCTCAGCTGGGTTCCCTGTCATTTTCTCTCTCCTGTGCAGATGCTGGACTGAACCTGCCTGACTTCCCTGGCTTCTGGGAACACCTGTTGGCTTACTTAAAAGAATCCTTAGTACTTAGACAAAATCCAGGGGCCATTTTTTTGTTTAGCCAAGAAGTCTAACCAATATACCCACACAAAAAAAGGACAAAATGTGCTTAAGAAGAATAAGAAGGATGGGCAGACTAAATTTACTGGTACTGTCAGAGCCATGAAGAAGAGTGAAATGTACCATTTGCTGGTAAATGGATGGAATTGGAGAACATCATTCTGAGTGAGGTTAGCCTGGCCCAAAAGACCAAAAATCATATGTTCTCCCTCATATGTGGACATTAGATCAAGGGCAAACACAACAAGGGGATTGGACTTTGAGCACATGATAAAAGCAACAGCCCACAAGAAAGACATGAGGATAGGTAAGACACCTAAAAAATTAGCTAGCAGTTGTTGCCCTTAACGCAGAGAAACTAAAGCAGATACCTTAAAAGCAACTGAGGCCAATAGGAGAAGGGGACCAGGAACTAGAGAAAAGGTTAGATCAAAAAGAATTAACCTAGAAGGTAACACACACGCACAGGAAATCAATGTGAGTCAACTCCCTGTATAGCTATCCTTACCTCAACCAGCAAAAACCCTTGTTCCTTCCTATTATTGCTTATACTCTCTCTTCAACAAAATTAGAAATAAGGGCAAAATAGTTTCTGCCGGGTATTGAGGGGGTGGGGGAAAAAGGGAGGGGGTGGGGTGGGTGGTAAGGGAGGGGGTGGGGGCAGGGGGGAGAAATGACCCAAGCCTTGTATGCACTTATGAATAATAAAACAATAAATAAAAAAAAAGAATAAGAAGGAGGGGCAGACTAAATTTCCTGGTACTGTCAGAGGCAAATGGGTGAAAATGTGTCACAAATGAACCTCTACGATGTTCTGTTTGTCTACTGAATTCGTATCAGCAGTCCTTCCCAAAAAAACTTCGATTAGTATCAACCTGCTTCTTTTCTTTTCCAGGATTTGATCCTTTTTGATTCAAAGACATATGGAATTAGGCTTTATAGCAGAATATTGTTGTTATTTGTTTTTAAAGGTACATGGTGCTTAAGGGTGACATGTAATCACAGACAGAAATCTTTATTAACATGACTCTCCACTTCAGGACTTTTAGAGACAAAGGAAAGTTCTGAATAGGGTGCAAGTAAGATTTTTTTTTTTCCTCTAAAGAGTTTTCTCGTCCGGTGCTGGTGGCTCATGCCTGTAATCCTAGTTACTCAGGAGGATGGCGGTTTGAAGTCAGCCCAGGCAAATAGCCTGTGAGACTCTATCTCAAAAAAAAAAAAAAAAAAACCCATCACAAAAAGGGCTGATGGAGTGGCTCAAGATGTAGACCCTGAGTTCAAGCCCCAGTACCACAAAAAAAAAAAAAAAAAAGATATTTTTCTCAAGGAGAAATATGATTTTTATTGTAATGACTTTAAGCAAGGTTTTAGCAAAAAAAGAAAATTTTATTAGTTTTCCTAAAGCTAATTCATATTAATAATATGAAAGCATACTGGAAATATTCATCTCTCTCCCTCTTCCTCCCCCACTAAGTCACTGAATTTACAGCATCTAAGAGTTTTTCTTGCTCTAGATGAAAAGAAAGAGGGACTTGGGGATCTGAGTTCTTATTCTAGACTCTTTTAGTCCTGAAAAAGTGACTTGCCTCTAAGGACCCCGAGAACAAATTCCCTTCAATTTAGGCCTAGATTATACTATTTTTCATTTAGTTTTGTGCCTCATACACGTTTCGACTACAGTTCTTGGGAGAATGGTGTGGCAAAATCAAAAAGATACTCTCTAAAAATGGAGGGCAGTGTTGGAGGCTTCAACATATGGCCTTTTGTGTCAGTGGCCAAGGACCAGCCTCCGTCAGTCAGATAGCCAGAGGAGGCAGATGAAAAGCAGATGCAGGGGAACACAGGCCCCTCTGTGCTCCATTCAGGCCCTGTCAATAGCAACCCAGGCCTGGAATGTGTGCCATGGAACAAGGTGGGCGTGATCCCACCCACAAGGCATTCTCAGAAGAGGACCTACCTGGGTTGAAATAAAAAATGATGTTTAACAAATCCTGGTCACCCCATGTGATGGTATTCTTGTACTTCTGGTACAGAGGGAACAACATGTCCTCCCAAGCCAGGCCTGTGGGGATCAGGCTGTTCTGGAAGAGAGAAACCATCGAGCAGCTGAAGCAAAGCAAATGCACCTTGTCCATGGAGAGACAGAGAGGGGGACTGGTTTCCTTTTCCTCCTAGAAAAGAAGCAGGGGAGTAGTTCTGAAATCCTCAGGACACAGAGCCAAGCAAACTTAGGGATGCAGGGTGTGAAGATTTTCTCAATGGATGCTGGATGGACCAGGAACTAGGAGGTGGCCTATAGTTTCATGCCTGAAATTGAGATTTTCTTAGGCTTACTTCTTATCTGGAAAGAAGCAAATACAGATCACAGAATTAAGGTATCTTAAGGAAAAATACCATCCCCTGTATTTATTTATTTATAAAGGGTCTTGCTGCGCAGCCCAACCTGGCCTTGCCATCCTCCTGCCTCTGCCTCCCGAGTGCTAGGATTACAGGTATGCACCTGGATATAAATAATTATTTTAAAACAAGGAAAGAAGCTGGGCGTAGTGGCTCGTGCTTGTAATCCCAGCACACAGGAGGCAGAGGCAGGAAGATCAAAGGTTTGAGTCCAGCTTGGGCTGTACAAGACCTTATCTCAACTAAAACCAGCCAACAAAATTATTTACCTTTAAAATAAAAGTGACACATTCACAAAGTCAATATTCAGTCAGTCCATAATGACAAAAAATAAAAAAGTAAAACTAATTCTTCCTCCCTCCTCCTCTGAATCTCATCCCCAGTTCCCCTCAATGAATCTACAATGAATGATTAATGGTTTCTTAGGTATTCTGGAATTTCTAAGGCATGAGTGAGCACTGTGAGTACCACGATACTCTGGCTGTAAGTAAATTTTTCTCACTTAATATTTTCTAGAGCTTTAAAAAGATCTTACTTAGAGATGAACCTATTCATTTTGATTTTTAATTTTTGTGTGGCTGGGGATTGAAACCAGGGCCTTATACATCCTAGGCAAGTGCTGCACTACTAAGCTACACCTCAGCCATGATTAACCTATTCCCTTTATCTAATCTATTTTTTAATTTATTCTTACAGTACTGGGGTTTGAACTCAGAGTTCTGCACCTGCTAGACAGCCTCTCTACCACTTGAGCCAGGCCTTGAACCATTTTCACTACGTTATTCTGGAGATAGGATCTTGCTTTTTGCTGAGGACAACCTGGACTGTGATTCTCCTAGTTTAGGCTTTCTGCTGTCACTAGGATGACAGGTGTGTACCACCATTTCCAACTTTTTTCTGTTGAGATAGGGTCTCATAAACTTTTTTTTGCCTGATCTGGCCTGGAATCTCGACCCTCCCAATCTCGGCCTCCTGCATAGCTTGGGGTGACAAGCACGTAGCACTGCACCCAGCTGTGATTTGAAATGGAGTCCCATGACCTTTTGCTGGGCTGACCTTGAACCATGATCTTCCTGATCTTAGCCTCTCAAGTAGCTAGGATTATAAGCATGGGCCACTGGTGCCTGCCTTAATCTAGTCTTTCTTTTTTTTAATTTCCTTTATTCACATGTGCATACAATTTCCTCCCACCCTCCCCCTCTCTCCCCCACCCCCTCGCTTCCAAGCAGATACTGTTTTGCCCTTATCTCTGATTTTGTTGAAGAGAGAGTTTAAACATTAATAAGGAGGACCAGGGCTTTTGCTAGTTGAGGTAAGGATAGCTATATAGGGAGATTCCTAGTTTTGCTTCCATGTACATTTGTGTTACTTTCTAAATTGATTCTTCTCGAACTAACCTTTTCTCTAGTTCCTGGTCCCCTTCTCCTATTAGCCTCTGTTGCTTTAAAGTTTCTGCATTAGTTCCTTTGCTTTGAAGACATCAAATGCTATTTTTTTTTTGGGGGGTTACCTACCTATCCTCATACCTCCCTTGTGTGCTCTCGCTTTATCATGTGATCAAAGTCCAATCCCCTTGGTGTGTTTGCCCTTGATCTAAAGTCCGAATATGAGGGAGAACATATGATTTTTGGTCTTTTGGGCCTGGCTAACAACCTATTCTTTCTTAATACGAGGATAATTTTTTTGTGTGAGGAATCTGGTCTGTATAACGTTCATTTAGGTTCTTTCCAGTTCTTTGCTAGGATAAAAGACAAGACCCAAGAGCATCCTTGCAGAAATGTCACTATGTACTTATTATGTAAATATATCCCTAGAGTAAGTCCAAGAAATTTTTCAGGGTCTTTGAAGCCTTGGATATGCACAGAGTTCGAACAATATGGAATTCAGAAATAACACATGATATCCCTGTACAGTAACTCTGGAAGCCATCTGGGCTTTTCCTGAACAAACAAATATTCCAAGCAACTCTCCAAGTAGTTTTCTTTGGGTTCTTCCATCCTTATGTACAGCTACCTACTATATTCCCCAAATCAGCACAGCCACACACCAGGCATGTCCCTGTTGACAAGACCAACTCCAAGTCTTTAAAGAAGGAATTTTAAAGTGCTTCCTTACCTTGAACTGGGTACTTCTTATTCGAGTTAAATTCATCAACATGACCCCAGAATTCACTCCTGCAGTGCCGTAGAAGGGGTGCCGAGCAAAGCGACTGTACCAGCCAATCTTCGGGATTTCATGCTCAGGGGCCATGGCTGCAAGCTGGGTGGAGTTAAACCGCCTCAGAAGCTTCCAGATGTCGTCAACAGGCCTCAGAAAGAGAACATCAGTGTCCACGTAGAGTAGGGAGTCCACATCCTTTAAAATCACCTTTGTGTGTAGGGAGGGGTAGGGTGGGAGGTATAAAACAAAACCAGGTTAGAAACAAAGCAAGTGGCCTGACAGGAAAATAATGTCACCAATGTTCACTGATTATTGGTGAAGTTTAGAATGGGTATCACTGTCACCTCCCATTCCTCCCTTCTTCTTTGACCTGAGGGTGGTGTGTCAATCAAGGAGCAGACTTCAAAGATAAGCCATCTAGATCGGCCAAACTCCAGGACCTTGGACTATGTTTGATCTGGGACAAAATTTTCCAAGGGATGAAAACGTCAACTAATTTCTGTGGTTCTATTTTGTCGTCCATCCCCCCCCCCAAAAAGCCACCTGTCTTTCTCTCTTGGTTCTTTCTTGGAACAGCCAGGCACTGGTTGGACAACCGCTAAACCAGTTGGTGCCAGTTGTCAGGGGTGAGCACTGTGTGTCTGGATCTGCTTCTCCTAGCATTGATGGATATGGCTCTGCACCTTTCTAAAAGGATATTTTTAGCTAAGATTTGGACTTGGAAATACGCAAAGCAAGTCACTGGCCAGGTATGTATGCACATCAGAGCTTGGCAAACTTTTCCTACAAAGGGTCAGATAGTAAATATTTTAGGTTCTGTGTCAGCTACTCAGCCCTAATATTGCTGGCAGGCAGCAGCACTGACAACACGGAAATGAATGACAGTGACTATGTTCCAGCAAAACTTCATGTAGGGACACTGAAATGTGAATTTTATGTCATTTTCAGATGTCATGGGTTATTGTTCTTTTGATTTTTTTTTAAAAACTATTTGAAATGTAAAAGCCATTCTCTGAGTGCAAGCTTTAGCTTACAGAGCAGGCCTGGTACACATCAATACAAGCAGGCTCCCCTGGAAAAGGAGCTCTCCTGTGCGAACTGCCAGACTTCCAGAGCTCTGCCCAGAGGGGAGAGGTAAAGCCTGAGTAAGCAGCAATGCCGTCGGCTTTGTTTTGCCTTTGTTTGTCAAATTGAGAAACACTTGAACCAGTAGAAGATTTGAATCACAGGTCCCTGGCCTCACGTATCCTAACACCCTAACAACACGTTATGCACTAAACGTGGGTATGTCCTCCAAATTCAAGTTGAAGCTCTGACCCCAAACATAACAGCGTTTGGAGCTGGGACCTTCAGAAGACATTTAGGCGTAGGTCACAAGGGTGGGGACATCATGATGGGGTTTGAGTCCTTTATCAGAAGAGGCACCAGTCAACTTCCGCTCCTTCTTGCAACGTAAGGAAACAGCAAGAAGGCAGCCATATGAAAGCCAGGAAGAGAGCCCTTACCCCAACTGAACCCTGCTGGCACCCTGATCTCAGAACTGTAGGAAAATCTATTTCTGTTGTTTAAGCCAGCAAGTCTATTGTGTTGTATTATGGCAAGCTGCTGGGATCTCTGATGTTGAGAATTGGTGAACACAAGTACTGTATGACACAGGTGCCAAAGAACTTCAGGCTGGAGTTCATTCCAGAGCTTACTTGATTAGCCACAGGGTTAATCTTTTCTTTCCTCCTCTACAAGAGGAATGAATTTTACAAATCAATGAAATGAAATAAAAATAACAACCATCCGCTATTTCCTAAAAGATTATCTTGATATCCATCATAACAAATTGAAAAACCTTATTTCAGAATTAGAATAAATTCTGCAAATTGATAACAAACATTGAAAAAAAAATCTATCACATGTCCTTATTTTTTCTTATTTTGTTTTGGAAAGTTAAAAACTTTGCCACAGATGGACATTATTTTGCTGACATTAAAAAAAAATCACAACTGCACAGTACTATGGAGAAAGGGTAAACTCTGTAAAAATATTAATAAATATGTGAGGGTAGAAATTACATATCATATAGAAATACAGTTTTAATGTTTTGCATGGCCAAGGGCCCAATGTCCTGCCCATCTTATTTTGCAATAAAGGAAACCATAATACACCTTCTCAAACCATGAAGTCTGGCTGAGCTAAAGACAACCACAATACAGGGAACTCTCTGCCTTCCCTCTCCATTTGCCCAGGACCAGGACAGGGATTGACAAAAACAAAGGTCTCTCCATTCTTCTCCCCACCTTTTCCCACCTAAACAGAAGAGACAAAATTCCCTTCACAACTGTATCAGTAGCTCCAGGACCAGAGGGATCTGCCATCTAACTTCACTCCACTGGTGTTTTCCCACACGTAGTCCTTCCCACAGTTCCCTGCCTCTGGGATCCAGCATATGCTCTCCACCATTTTGTAGCTTCTCTAGAATGCATTGTTCCTTGTTGGGTGGACCAGATAAGCCAGTGCCTTAAGCTACTGTTCCCCCATGTGGTGTTTTCCGCTTGGTAAAAACCTTGCTTCTTTTTCTTTTTCTTTTGGGAACCTGTCTTTTGTTGCAGGTTTCTGTTCCAACCATGAACTTATGAGGATTGAGGGGAAAATTAAATTTTCTCCTTTGCACTGCCAAGGAAAACTTAGGCACAGAAAAGTGTTCTGTCCGTGTTTGTGTGACAAATAGTGTTAATGATTGCTGGATTTTGGCAAACAAGGTTAGAGCAAAATAAAGTCATTGTCATAATATGTTTAAGGGAATAAGATATTATATAATGCTAAAAAAACCACCCCAATTTAGAATTATAAAATTAGAGAGGAAGCGAGAGCATTTCTTTCTCTCATAAGATTTTCTTTATGGCAGATTCTTTAGTGAGGTCCGAATAAAAAGCATATAATATTAATGTTGTAATTAATTAAGGATCATGAAGACATATACCCACTAACTTTACATTCACCGACTTGATTACTTTGATTTATTTTCTTAAAAGACCTTAAATCATTATTATGGTAATACTTTCTTTAATAAGATAAAAATGATTACTACCCTTCATCGAAACAAAGAGGAAAAAACCCAGAAAGACTTGAAGGAGGTCCAGAAAAGAAAATCACAGAAAATCTGAAAGGTGGAGGGGGTTACAGTGTGAAGCAACACTACAGGAAGATCTTCAATCAGGAGAGAGAAAGCAAACAACTCAATCAGCAAGCCTTTTCTCTTCTTTTTTTTTCTTTTTTTATTTTTTGTGGCACTGGGGTTTGAACTCACGCTTGCTAGGCAGGTGCTCTTACCACTTGAGCCACTCTACCAGCCCCACCTTTTTTGAGACAGGGTCTCATTATATAGCCTAAGCTGGCCTGCACTCCAGGTCCTCCTGCCTCAGCCTCCTAAATGCTGGGATTACAGAAATGTACCACCACACTCAGCTGCTTTCAAGCTTTTGTTATGACAAACAATATCACAACGGTAAACTTCCCTAATTCATTGCAAATACACCTAATAGCAAAAAAAAAAAAATGTATACTAAAAATATACTGGGCCAGATATAATTACTAAAAATATAATTAGTTAGTCCCAAATATATGTATTTGTAACTTTGACAGATGATGTCAAACTCCCTCCCTACCAGAGAACCCAGGTGGGTTTCCCTGGGCAGTGTAAGGGAGTACCTCTTACCCATCATCCCCAACTGACGGTGAATAGTCAGACTCCAGCATCTCTTCTAACAAGCAGGCATACCTGAGACGATCCTAGCCTAACAGCTCATTTTACTTAATTTCCTGTCAGTCTTGCTGTGAGCTGGCCTAGGCTCCAGTACCGTGGCCAGAGGTGGCACAAGGCTGGCAGACAAGCAATTCTAGGCAGGTGCTCTACCACTTGAGCCACACTCCAGCCCAGCAATTCTGGAGGGGACCATGAATAACAGCTCCCACTAGAGGGCAACCACACGGCCCCTGGAATCCAACCCTTATGGGTGGAAGCCCTCCAGTGTCTGTCTAGAACCATAGGAATCCCTCTTCTGATAAGGTTTGATTCTGAAAACATACTTTCTAGGCTAGAACTATGGGACAAGGAAGAAAAACAACAAATGCAAGGCCACGGCTTTTAGAAAGCCTGTAAGTCTCCAGCTAAGGTGCCATTATGGTTTGGTTGTGGTTTGTCCCTCCAAAAGTCATGTTGAAATTTGGTCCTAACATAACAGTGTTGACAAGTGGTGGGGCTTGATTAGGTCAGTAGGACAGATGACTGACTTTCTTTAAAGGCGGGTGATAAATAAGCGAGCTCGTCCCTCACACTTTGCCTCTTTGGTCTGCTTTCTGGCTCTTTTGCCTTTCTATCATGTTATCATGCAATACGAGGCCCTCACCAGAAGCTGAGCAGACACACTGCCATGCTTCCAGATCTGTGAGCCAAATAAACCTCTCTTCCTTATAAATCACCTAGTCTGTGGTATCCTGCTATAGCAACAGAAAATAAACAAAGACAGGTGGCAAAGTCAGTTCAACTTAGTCCAAAAGTGGCAGATCAGGGGCCTGTGGGTCAAATTCAACCCCCAGATGTTATTTGTTAATTTTTAACTTCTTTGGTATACATAGCCTATTTTTAAACTTTTGAATTAGTTAATAACATCTTCTATAAACTGGAGAGTAAACAAAATTGTAGCCTGCGTCCTGAGAGGAAAAGCTGCTTAGCAACAGACACCTGCTACATTCTGTTTGCTCTAAGTGACAACCATTAAATGAAGGGTCAGTTAGGTGCCAGGTGTGACCAGCAGTGACTTGGTTAGTCAAATATCCCTGCCCTTAGGAGGCAGTCAGAGAATAAGCCAGATAAACCAGTGGTTATATAATATATAAGCAGGTGGACAAACAGAGCAGGAGTTCTGTGGGGGGGGAGGGGAGCTTGCAGTTCTTCATGGCGTGCTTGGGGAAGGGCTCACATGAGAACAGGGCAGAAGCATATCTGGCATCTCAGAACGGCAGCAGACTGTGTGACTGGGCTGCAGTGAGCAACAGCAAGAATAGGCAGAGACGAGGACAGTGAGGTGAGGTGGGCAGGTAGTCACTTAGGGCTGTGGGCATCCTTGCAAGAACTTGACTCTAAGGTGGGAGTCATTAGAGGGTCTTTGACTGAGGACTGCCTCACTCTGTTGGATCACTCTGTGGAGAACAGGCTG